GTCACAGAGAGTTCAACGCTGGAATAATAATCTTACAGCTGAGACTGGTTCTACATATTGCTATATACGTCGTCACAGAGAGTTCAACGCTGGAATAATAATCTTACAACTGAGACTGGTTCTACATATTGCTATATACGTCATCACAGAGAGTAGACTGGTTCTACATACTGCTATTTACGTCGTCACAGAGAGTAGACTGGTTCTACATACTGCTATTTACGTCGTCACAGAGAGTTCAACGCTGGAATAATAATCTTACAACTGAGACTGGTTCTACATACTGCTATTTACGTCGTCACAGAGAGTTCAACGCTGGAATAATAATGGCAACTTTGGGACCAAAAAATGGCATTTTTTGTGAGGTTCAATAAAGAAAAAAAAAATAAAGTAGGCTGGCAGCTGAAGCATTGCCCAATTTTTTGGGGGTATGGTTCAATCAATGCCAAATGGGCTCGGCCTACAGGAAAGCACTGCCCAGTGTGATTACGAAGGTCAAGGCTGCACTGCCCAGTGTGACTACGAAGGTCAAGGCTGTACTGCCCAGTGTGACTACGAAGGTCAAGGCTGCACTTCCCAGTGTGACTACGATTGTTACTTTCACATACACCATGATTAGGTCAAGGCTGCACTTCCCAGTGTGACTACGATTGTTGATTTCACATACACCATGATTAGGTCAAGGCTGCACTGCCCAGTGTGACTACGATTGTTGATTTCACATACACCATGATTAGGTCAAGGCTGCACTGCTCAATGGTAGTTCTTGGACCCCGTCTCCCTTTTCTTTCTTTTCTTGTCCAGTACTCCGGGGAAACCTGCAGGGTCAGATATAAGTGAATGTTTTGTTTAGTTTTTCTTATTATCATGTGGTTGTTTCAGTTGGGGCTGGTACCTTGAAGAGGACGTCCAACGTTTCCTTCTGTCGATCCTGCTGAAATCACATGAGCAGAAAGAGCTGGCGAGCCAACAGCAAAGTTGAGGAGGGAACATCTCAGTTGTGGAAGCGGCAGCGTCAGACCAGGTAGTGCGAAAACATTTAGAGAATGAGAGATATGGGGTTAAAAAGTACAATGTGGAACTATCGTACAATTATTAAAGCTTAACTCTTTTCCTACCAGGCCAAAAAAATCCCCCACTGGCTCAGGGTTTTTCCCTGACCTGTTTTTACACCATATCCCACCACAGGAAAATGTCAAAACATCCAACTAAACACACACAAACCACATCTTATGGCCCGTCAAACGGAAGGGAAAACAGTAATCTGTCAGATGGTCGTACAATATTGAAGATTTATTCCAATTATATTAGATTGTGGTTTTTAAAACTAATTATGCAATATCAAAGGTGTGTATGAAATCAACAATTTTCCAGCTTTGAAAGGTCATAACTAAAAAAGTACAACAGCAGCATCATTCACACTTCCCATGTAAGTAGCCTCAAGTCATGAAAAGAAATGCTGAAAGTTATGTACAGTCGAACCTGCCTTAACGGAAACCTGTAGAAAACGGACACCTGTCTTAGCGGAATCTCCCCGCTCCCCCCTTGATATATTCCTCTTTAATTACCTGTAGAAAACGGAGAGCGTTTCACCTGTCTAAGTCTAAGTCTAAGACGGAAAATGCTTTACCCGCTCAATCTTGATTTGAAACAAAACTCGCAAGTTTGGTTCCGCCGGCTCTAAACTTAACGCTATGGCCATGCCGCTGTCCGAGGAAGAGGAGTGGGGGTGCTATTTGGGGGTAGATGTTACCCCATCATGTGAGCCCTGAGCGATGCAGTTGGTCAGTGGAGTGTGGGTGTGAAATCTCACGACTGCCCGTGAGAGTGCTCGAGTAGCGCGCCACTACGGAAACTGTCATGGGTAGCCAGAAGCCAGAGGTGTGAAATTAGATTGACCAATGCCTGCCGCCCTGATCGTAAGGCCCGCTGAGAAAAAAGTTCCTCGAATCGTTGTTACATGATGGCAGTGAGGGGTGGCATTGGTGGGTGGGGCTAAGGGTGGAATCAAAGGAGAGGTCAAACAGTGGTCCTGTGAAAGGCAAGCACTGGTGGTAAATATAAGTAAGACTGGCGCATGTCATTATCAAACAGGATAGCAATTGAGAGGTGTGAAGTTTTGACCACTGCTTGCCGATCGGACAAGCGATCCTTGGTCCCACCGGCTGGGCCTTTGATCCCCCCCCCCCCACCCCCAACCTCCATCTCCCCCTAAATTGCCCTGTCTAAGACGGAATGTTTTTCTGGCTCCCCTGCGGTTCCGTCTTACACAGGTTCCACTGTATGTGTAGATAGTATAGAAGTGTCAATATGAGACATAATATACTGACCGTCTTACACAGGTTCCACTGTATGTGTAGATACTATAGAAGTGTCAATATGAGATACCATGAGACATATACTGAAGTCAGGGGAGAACTTTTTTTTTCATTTTTACGTTTCCAAGGGGACAGAAAAAAGCGATGAAATGAAAAATCGTCTGTCAGTGCTATCTTTGTTTTATATCCGCCAACAGGAAGTCTATTCTATTATTTCGAAAACGTGGATCGGCCGAGAATTTCTTGTCTTTTCATTACTGAATTGGAATAGATAGCGAGCCACTCGAGCCGTATTTTGCGGCTGTCGGTCCAGCAAGGCGAGGGGGGGGGGGGGATGTAGGCCGGCTCCAAACAGACAGTCAGCGCAGGGGCGTTGTGATTGGCCAGTCCAGTGATGAGTGAGGTGGGGCAGGCGGCGTTGTGATTGGCCAGTCCAGTGATGAGTGAGGTGGGGCAGGCGGCATTGTGATTGGCCAGTCCAGTGATGAGTGAGGTGGGGCAGGCGGCGTTGTGATTGGCCAGTCCAGTGATGAGTGAGGTGGGGCAGGCGGCGTTGTGATTGGCCATTCCAGTGATGAGTGAGGTGGGGCAGGCGGCGTTGTGATTGGCCAGTCCAGTGATGAGTGAGGTGGGGCAGGCGGCGTTGTGATTGGCCATTCCAGTGATGAGTGAGGTGGGGCAGGCGGCGTTGTGATTGGCCAGTCCAGTGATGAGTGAGGTGGGGCAGGCGGCGTTGTGATTGGCCAGTCCAGTGATGAGTGAGGTGGGGCAGGCGGTGTTGTGATTGGCCAGTCCAGTGATGAGTGGGATGGGGCAGGCGGCGTTGTGATTGGCCAGTCCAGTGATGAGTGAGGTCGGCAGATTGGCCAGTCCAGTGATGAGTGGGGTGGGGCAGGCGGCAGAGACAGAGAGATGGTGCGGAGAGACGCGTTACGTGAGCCACTCCAAAATCTAAAGTCCTGGGCCATAGCCTAGACGCTCAGGACGCCTGTAATGCGTGCCATGTGTGATTCCTGATTCATTGAATTGCGGTCGTTGATGCTCAGGCATACGCACGCATCCACTTCACCAGTTCTACTGAAGGCGTACCGGTACGATAGAAGACAAACCGAGGAAAAGATGGCTTCCAACAAAGACTAAAGGAATTGCTTCTCACTCCAAGTAAAGGCCGAGACAATCAACGAAGTGAAATTGGTTGTTCTGTGATTTTCCCTCGGTCCCGGGGTAGGAGATAAAGCAGTGGCTGTAGGTGCAAGGCCACAAACAAAACATATCACAGAGAGATTGTAAGAAAAATGAATGAGTGTGTTGGTGTCTGTTGTATTATATTGAGAAGTTGTTTGAGGAGATAAAGAAGAGAAAGACGCTATTAAGAGCATAGTTGCTGTGTGCTGCTGAAACACAAAATATAATAATAATAATATTAATAATAATAATAATAATAATAATAATAATAATAATAGTGATAATAATAGTGATAATAATAATAATAGTAATAATATTAACTATTGAAAGTTGGATTTTCCTCTCACTTCCCAGAGCAACCAAGTCCTCTCATCCCCAGAGATGGGGGCAGGGGAAGGCATGGCAGGTCCCAGAGATGGGGGCAGGGGAAGGCATGGCAGGTCCCAGAGATGGGGGCAGGGGGAGGCATGGCAGGTCCCAGAGGGTTAATGTTGTCAGCAAGCAAGAAGCAAATGGTCTCTGCACCTTCTCCGCAGTCACAGGGCTCTCCGATAAGTGCATGCTTACTACATGTATGTAGCTGGGTATTCCCTACGTAAAGTCACATCCAGTACAGTGCTGACAATGAACCTCTGCTTCCCACCCCACCAATACCCGTCCCAACTCCAGGTCACAGAAAGGTTGTCCATGGAGAGAGGGGAAAAGAAAAGGGATAATAATAATGATAATAATATTTATAAAATGCATTAAAATAAAATAGTAAAACAATAAATAGGAAGAGTAAGATATATAGTGAAGTAACACGTGTCTCTTTTCGGGGTTACCCCGTCACCCGTTAGCTTCCTCTTTTTCTTTTCCTATTCGAAGAGTACTAATCCCCCCACCCCCACCCCCTCACCACGTAGAGGTGGGTCTATTGGGGGGGGGGGGGGTGTAGTCTGATGTATGTCTGAGAATACACAAGTAACTGAGAGCACCATTGTACATGAGAGAAAGAGACAGAAGGCAGAGGAAAACTGTAATAACCTAGCAGTCATTTGAAGAATGTGGACAAAGTGTGACATAATGAGACCATGACTTAGGTAAAAAGTAAATGACATATATATATTTTTTTATTTTTTTTTATTATTTTTTTTTTAATTTAATTTTTTTTTTCGAAGGACGTCTCAATTCACATGTTTGGGGAAGTTTTCCAAGCGTTCCAACCATGACTCATGCTTGTTTTAGATGATCATTTTTTGGCCCTCCAGGTAAATGTTGAAATTATGAGCTTTAATCCCTAAATGACCAAAATTGTGTCGATAGTGCCGTAAAACATCTACTCAAACAAACAAAGCTTTAATCCCACACAATACCATACCTACTGTTTACCCAAATGAGATCAAAATCATGAGTTTCACTGTCAGTATGATCTTTATCCCCATACCTCTCATTACTATGAACTAACAGCATGACTAACCCTCCTTCTTCTCTCCATACTCATTTACTACAAACTTGTTTTCAGTTTTGAGGTATTGTAGCTCATGATGATGTACAGTAGTTTCAGTGGCTTGAGATAGGAGAACTGGCGTCTGTGGTGTAGCGGTTAGGTGTTTCGCTGTGGCACGCAGGAGACCGGAGGATGACTCCTGAGGGAGGAGAAAAGTTTTCTAGAGTATGTATTAGTATTAGTCTTTGTGATGTATTAGTATTAGTCTTTGTGATGTATTAGTATTAGTCTTTGTGATGTATTAGTATTAGTCTTTGTGATGTATTAGTATTAGTCTTTGTGTTGGGATGTTGTATCCCTCCCAGGCAGGGTCGAGAGCCCGTCTCGTAAATGGTGGAATTGTTTATTGGGATGTAAAAAACGCCAGCATTTCATGTTAGGGTTGATGTTAGGCTTACGGTTAGAGTTAACTCATTCTCTGCCCATTACCCATAATGCCGACCGCACCATTTTCGCTCTTTACTGATACATCGGCACAGGCTATACTCAAACTTTATTTAGTTCATAAATTCTTGATCCATAATTTTAAGTTTTGATATAAACAAATCTCCAAAGTAGAAACTTGCTGCAACGAAATATAGTGTCAACGTAAGTGGGTGGAAAGTTGAAATTGTTGGAGTATTATGTGTGGTGTGTTTTTTAAATCAAAACGTGAAAGATGATCCCACCAATTTCTAGTTATAGCTATGCTTTCTGGGTCTGGTAGCAAATGACCCCATAGGCCTATAACTTGCCAAACAGACCTGGGGATTTTTGTTTAGTAAACTTGAGGACAGAGATGACAATGACCTAGAATCCCTAGCTTTAGATACCGATTCGGGTGGTGATTGAATCGAAAGTGAGAGGTGTGAAAAAAAGACATAATTCGTAGATGTAAATCTACAGTGACAGCGAAGAGGATAGTTGAAGATAAGGGAGGGAGTGGATATGATGGGAAATGAAAGGGACAGAAAGCCAAGAGAAGTGAAAATCAAGAGGGTAATGACACAGGTCGAAATCTAAATCTAAATCTAGACTTGGACATGCAAGTGCAACTTGGGCAAATTCTGATTCATTACAACTTTTGGTATTGTCACAGTGATGTTACAAAATTGATCAGAAAATCATCACTTTTTGCAGGGAATTGAATGTAACATTCATTTTATGAGCGCAGGAATGTTTTTTGAAATATGAATTTCATTATTTTTTTTCTAAGTAGGAAATTTAGTCTGTCTTTTTATTAGCTTCCCTGTGATGGATGTGATCTCTGGAAAATATCTATTATGTTCTTTGCCCAAATATTTTTTTACACATTTCAATGCAACATTTTATTCTTTCAAAAAATGTATGACACTGCATACTTATTACTTCATTTTACATATATACTCATTTCCAAAAGAAACTTGACATAAAGAATTGTGTTAAATAAAAAATAAACCATTGCAGACACAGGGACAAAATTTTACATCTAAAAAGAAGAAGCATTTCTGAATTAGGAAACCTGTATTTTAATGCACATAATACACACCTGGTGCTTCAAGCCCCACCTGAAGTGATAGGGTCCAAATTCAAAAAATCAGAAAATGTGCATTTCTTTTGGAAAAGAGTATATATGAAAATCCTTCTCAAACATACACACCTATCATTCACGATGGAATGCACAGAGACAACTGGTGAAAGCTGGTATAAAAATGGGCAGAGAATGAGTTAAAGATACGAGGGTAGTAGGGTAATTTTAGTCTTGAGTTTCAGGGTTGAGGGGATGAGGTTGGGGTTATAAGTTGTAGGTAGGTTTAGGATTATATCGTGGTGTGCACCGTCTAAATGTAACAGACCTCCCGATTCTACGTGTATCTGTCAGGTGATAAGTATAATTATAAACAATCGAAAAGCTTGTTGAGTCCTAGATCTTTTTGTCGTACAATGGGGCTTGTAACGACCGTAACTTAATGTCTATAGCAAAAACAAAATGTGAGGCAGCTTGGTGAAATCAGGCGCTCGTCAAAATAATGAAATCGAAGAAACTGGCATTTTTCTGTCCGTTTGGAAATTTTTATAGAATTTTCATAGAATTTTCATTTTTGGCTGGCGTTTTCTCACCAATTTTACCGGAAAAAACAGACGACCCCACTTTCTTCAATCGCAAATACCTCGACTTCTATTAAAGATAGACGTGTACTTTTTTAATCGGAAGATAGACAAATGAACCAGATTAAAGATGACACCGGAGACCTAGCAATGTGAACCAGACAGTACAGCTTGCGACCTGTCCGTGACAACCAGTGCTACATGCAGCGTCAGCGAAGAGAGCTGTTTTATTTATAGCCTGGGCCGGTAAACCTACTCGCGTTAGGCCTGTTATTGTTCTGTGGGTGAACGAAACCAAGTTGTTAGTGTACTCTGAGGTTCCAAATAAAAGGGAGGGAGGGGGGGGGGGGGGGGGTCGACACATTTACCAGATATTAATAAAAGGGAGAAAGGCCTTCCGTAACGAGCGACCACCCCAACAACATAATAAAGAAGAGACCTAGATCCAAACCTTACCCTAACCCAAACCCTACCCCTAGGCCCTACCCCTAGCCCTCTATTTTACTCTGTCTCATAGTGGTCGCTTTTTACGGGAGGGGAGGGGGGGCACATTTGCCGAGAATAGATGCAGTTCACGACATACATTTTGGGGGGTTGCGAAAGAA